TCTCTCCATTGCTCTTTGAGTGACCTAAAGCTTTTTTATGAGGTGTCCATCGTGAGCGGCCACGTTTCTATGCCGTATGTCATTATTGGCAACACACCGATATATCGAAGTGCTGAAGTGTTTGTATGAAAACGACAATATGTCAGTTCGACTTCACGTAGATATTTTGAGGATATTATGTAGATATTTATTACATTAATTGGTATAAACAAATTATTAATATTGATATCAATATAATTATACAAAAATGTGGTTGTTGAGCTGCCATTGATTCTGATAATTTTAATTAATATGTTACATTTTAAACTTTGCTCTCTTTGAAAAATATTTTGGTAATATGCACATATTTACGAGACAGTACAATTTATTTAATAGTCAAAAGCGAGCTTTCTGCAATAGCATTCTGTACAAACGTGATATTATATGGAACACTTGATTTTAACGAGGCAGGGAAATTTGTGCATTCTAAACCAGACATGTTTCTATAAAAAGGAATTGTGATGTCGTCGTCGTATACTTTGAAGTTACAATGATCGATATCAACCAGTTCTATTGAACAGATTGGTTTAAGTGAAACCTTTTATTGTATATGCGTGTTGCAATACTTTATTTTTGACTTTAGAAAATACATCATGCGTATAATTATTAAGAAAAGTAAGTAAATTAATATAGTCACGCTGTACACATTTCCAATTAAATATCTATTTCTCTTTACTCTATATTTTATAAAATGCATTCAGCTCCTGTAAACGTTTTTGTTTTGTGGATTGAACATTTAAATTATGCTTCTTGTTATTTAAATAAGCTCCATTGTAGTTGCGTCTGTTATTTAATTCTTCTATCTAAAATAATATTAGTAGAACAAACAAATTTCATCTTAAACGCTTCGCTCTATTCGAAACAAGATTGCATAAGAAAAGTAAACTCCACTATAATGCTTTTCTTAAGAATTTTAATTAAAAGCGCAAAATATAAAAGTTACAATTTACAAACGTTTAAAATAAAAAAGAAATAACATCTGTTAGTTAAAAAAACGTTTTAACTTACCTTCAATGTAATGTAATACAGACCGATTTTTTGCTTTATAAATGTTTTAATCTTACATTTTACTGAGCATAACAAGGGTTAATTAAAAAGATGGAAGCTGATTCCGGCCGCACAGTTCTTTCTACAAAAGCTCCTTAGAAAATTGAAAACATATGATATATTAAAATTATTTATGCTCAAATAAATGAAATAAGAAATAGAAATATAAACCTTTAATCACAGCAAACTTATAGGACGCGTTTAAAAATTAAATGCTTTTAAAGTATGAAATTAGTTTCCACGTTACACTGTTATGCGGCTAGGTGTTAATTCAGTGTTTTCATCGTCAGCTACGTGAAGGCTACGCCATATGTAGTAGGTATTCATTGTGGATTTTTTATTTGCGATTAATTTGTCACGCTGGTTATTGCCTTGTTTTATAAAATGTTTGATCGCCTTACGTAAGCTTTTGCTATATTATAGCTTTAAGAATTTCAAATTATGTTATTATAAATGCGTAAGTGATTTATTTTCTAAGTAAGTAATTCATCATAGATTTATTGTCCGTGTTATTTTTTGATATCTTATTCTTATTTATGTCATTTTACAATAAAGAAAAACAAAATCACAGCAAAATATTTTTTTTCTCTTTATTGTAGTATATGTAAACAATTTACATTCTTGTAACTTGTTAATATTTTCAAGGAATACAATTCAAAGTTCATTTGCATTAAGAGCACACTAGAGTGAGGTTAATTTCTGATTTAGTGATATAAAAAAAAATGATAATTTTTTTTGACAATATTATTAAGGACTAAAGGAGTCCTCTTGGAACAGTCGGTCTTGATTTGAAAAAAAATGTTTGATATTTATCATCAGGTTGATGTGTGTCATAATCTATAGGTACATATACTCGTAATAAAATTGTAACTAAGCCGAATCTGTACATGAAATAGACATTATTATCGATACAGAGGCCGAATCTATATAATTTTTTAGAATTTTTGTATGTCTGTCTGTTAACACATCACGGAAAACCACTGGAGGGATTTTGATGAAATTTGGTATGATGGTGGCTAGTTATCCGGGTCAATATATAGAATACTTTTTACTGCGGGAAAATATCTCATTTAGGAGAAAATATATAAAAACTGCAATGTAAGAGTATACTAATACCTATGTAAAACCTAAGAATTCGCTTTTTGGACATCTGAACGCGGGCAATGCTAGTATTAATATATATTTTATATTCTATTTTCTATTTTTAATAAGCTGAAAGATTATTTTTTTGTGTTTGAAATTAAGTCAAATATTTTAGATCAAAGAAATGGGACAGAGTCAAAATAATTTGGGTATGTTAGAAAAAGCCATCAAAATATATTTTATTTATCCTAAGATTTATCTTATTCAACGCTTAAAAGGAGTCGAGTCATTTCTTACGGCGAAAAACAATAAAAAGCTCAAACACTTAACTACTAAGTAAATAAAGGATAACTAAGAACAGAGCGGTATATGCTTACTAGCATTAATTCTGCCCTCAAGAGCTTTCTTTCATTTTAATTACCAATGAATTTCTCAACCTATAAAATAAGTTTGCATAACCCCTGGAATATATTTAAACTATAAGTCCTCGAACAAGGCGAAAATTCTACGTTTTCGTCCTTGAATAAAATATACAATATTAAAAAGGTTTTAGCGATCAAATAAATTTGTTTTGACTTTAAGCATCTACGATATAATGTATTCATTTTAGAATGCGTAGTTGACTATACAAAATAAAAATAATATAAAAATATTACCACATTTAAATATTCTTGAATTATTTGAGAAATGTCATTTGATAAAAACATTATGCGTTTGTCTGCGGCTGCGTCAATCTAATCAAGCGAGTGAAGCGAGCGTAAGTGGCTTATATTATAATAAGTTAAAGATATTGTTTGTTTGTTGTATTCTCAACTACCAGTTAAATTTGAAAAAAAAACCTTTTGCCGTTTATATCCTATTTATTTAGGAAGGTTATGGACAATCTAATACACGCTACGACTCTTAGGAGCGGAGCGTGATGTTAGATACATACATAAATAAACCATATTATAAAATATGTGTAAAAGCTTGTCCATTTATTAAGTCTAACTTCACGTCTGATTTTCTATTAATCTATTGTCTCTATCCTCTATCAAGTCCGACCCTGCGTATTTTTCTCCCCCGCACGTGTCCAGTTCAACTAAGTTTAGTAACTTAACAAAACATTTAATAAGGAAAGGCAAGACAAAAGTCAGAAATGCCAACAACATTTATATGTTTTCTACTAGCGACTCACCCTCGCTTTGCTCGGGCTCGCCTCTAGGAAAATAAAAACAAACTTGCCACGGAAACCGTAAATTTTCCCGGGATAAAAAAGTGTTATGTATTATATGTCTTATTCCAGACTATAATCTATCTCTGTGCCAAATTTCATCAAGATCCGTTCAGCTGTTCTGGTGTGAAAGAGTAACAAACATCTATACTCACAAACTTTCACATTTATAATATTAACACTGATTCTAAAGAAAATTTAAGATTATTTGAGATTATATATAAATACTCTAATAGTACCTATAAGAAATATATTTAAAAACAATTTGTCAAGTAAATCAATTTCTATAAACTGAAGGAAATTTCACATGAACTCCAATCTCCTGGCCTACCGTAAAACACATCTCGAATGTTGAATCATAAATACTAAGGTTCGTAAAACCTATGTAGTCGTAATAACAAGAAAACATGGGAAAGCTTGCATAAAATCGGTCAGCTATGCATCTTGTCGTCCTTAAACAACTAAATTAGTCGATTCCATTTATAAAACACTAGCAGAACCCGCGGCTTCGCTCGCGCTAAACCTACCAAAAAAAACTCTAAAACGGTAGGTTTCATGCAAACTTTCATCCCCTATTTTCGCACTTTATGGAATGTATTTCGAAAAATGCTCAAACATGTAATTATTTAATTGTATTGAAGAGCAATAATACCAAGTTTCAAATAATTCTGATTATAATTTTTATTTGGGTTGTATTATAACGCGTTTTCCCGTGGGAATGAGATAATGTCCTGCGATATAAGGCCTATATCATTCTTCAGTTCTCCGATAATCATCACACAAAAAATCATGTCAATCCATCACTCTGTTTCGACGAGAAAAAAGGACAAAGATACAAACATATTTTCACATTTATAATATTATAGTATGAATTAATAAGTATAAGTCTTGTCGGGATGATGGTTTGTACCTATGCTAATATCCGAGACTTATGCCCGATTTCACCAACGTCACCTAAGTTTAAGGGATCCCTTAAGCATGGTTAGGGGGCTGTTAGGAGAAAGGTTCCGTTTCACCGACAGTTAGGGGTCACCTAAATATTAAAAGGCCCCCTAAATTTAGGTGCTCGAAATATGGGCTTAAAGAAGATGTCAAAACAAAATTTAATTTAGGGGCTAGTTTAGAGGACTTTTAAGCTAGGGATCCCATACGTAGGTGGTAGCTTATGGGTTGTTGGTGAAATCGGGCATTAGCGGTGTTAAATAATTAAGAAATTCTGTGTCTCTATTGACTTTTGTTATGTAATAAAATTAAAGTATTTGTAATGTTTTTTATAAACGTTTTACTAAATGCATATGAAATTATATACGGTACTTCTGATTTCTGTTATTCACTGGCAGATAGGTGATGTTTTAAGGAGTAACTTGGCTACTTTTATTTTAGAAAAAGAATTAGGTTTCCACTTAAAAAAATTAAAACGCACCTAGGAACGCATCCGAGCGAAGCGACGGCAAATCGCTAGTAGTATATAAAATAGTGATTGGTATAAAAAACTGGGTCAGATAATATATGTGGAATTGTAGCAGTTATTGATGAATGTTAAAATTTTTAAATCCGCATAGGAAACAAAACAAGGCCTTTACGACCACCTAGTTTACTAAAATATACAGTTACTAACCTGTTTTTGTTGTAGGAAACAATGCATAGCCTGAGTTACGTCTGCAGCGTGGATAGAGTTGTGATAAGGGTTGGTGCTGTGGTAGCCTTCTTCGATCAAGCTGAAGAGTTTCCAGACTTTAATAACGTCTAACTTGAAATGTGAAATCAGCCCGTACATGTGGAACAGATGCACGCAAAGCACTGGCAAACAGCGACCTGCATAGAATAATTATGTACAGATTAATTAATAGTATTTCTTGATATCTTTTTATAGTTTTGCAAAGTATTGAATTATCAAATGCAGAATTGATCAAGTGACATTACCAAAATATAATTTCATTGTTTTCGTTTTATGCATTAGTTATGCATGAATTTCTTAAACAGTTCACTAGTGCGCTTTATGTCCGGGGTTATACAAAATTGCACAAATAAAAATTAACATGGCGATACCTAGTTTTAGCAGTATTGTAATTTTGAGCGTTGAAGTGTTCTATCGTCGAGTCCGTAGTATTCATGTTGGAAATGATTCGCACATGAAAATATCAGAGGTGCGAGACCCGGGATTTGAGCCCGCTTCGCTCGCTTGTTACCACTGCCTCAATCTATATGTATACATATAATAAAAGTCTAGGTTTGTCCCTAGTTCCGTTTTAACGTTTAGCTCAGAGATGAGATATTTTCCTGCAGTAAAAAGTATCCTATATGTATGTTGACACGGATAACCACCTATGATTATACCAAATTCCATCAAAATCTGTCCAGTGGTTTTATCGTCATGCGGTCACAGACAGACAGACAGACAAAAATACTAAAAACTATATATTCGGCCTCAGTATCGATAATAATGTCTATTTCAATAAAATTTTCCAAAAAAATATTTAATGTACAGATTCGGCTTAGTTAGAATTTTATTATATGTATAGATATAGATAAGTAGACTAATTCTGATATTTACGATTTAGATTATTTAGTAGTAAGTTTTAATTTATGATAATGTGATAGAGCCGACTTGGATAACGTAGGTTAAGCTACGCTACGCTTCGCTCCCGCCTTAGCCTCCTCGTTAGCCCTTTTTTTATTTCAAACCCAGAACCCCCAATAATTGCTTTATGCTATACTTTCTTACATTTAAGCGAATATTCGCGGATTTATTTTGATTTTTGTTTTGGTTTGGGAACCAAAAACCAAAAAAAAATCCACGGAGTAATCCGAAAATATAGTTTTATTAAAAATGCTTTATGTTATTTAAGATTTTGTGACAATATCGACTCGAAAATTATGGGTGTCGGACAGTATCAAAAGAATTGGATTTATTTCTGACGATACGCACATGTTGATCAATTTTAAAAACGAGGAGACCTCACTTCGGTTGTATGTTTTATTCTTTTCTTATCTTTAGTAGATTATACTTCAAGGTTGGTCCTATATATACCTTTCAAGAAAATTTCACCTTTAAGGGTTTGAAAAAGGTCGGAGTAGGTACCTTATTTAATTGAACCGTAAATATGGCTTCAGTTATCTATACTAATATTATAAAGAGGCAGAGTTTATTGGTTTGTTTATTAGTTTAAACGTGTTTAATCTCAAGAACTACGAGTACTAATCCGACTTGAAAAATTCTTTTTCATTAGATATGCCGTTAAAACGTACATAGAAACGGTTAATCGTATACCTATAATATTTTCTTTCTATATAAGCAAAACATATGGCTTATTTATTTGAAATGTTAAAATCGTTTTATAAATATAACTAGCGACTCGCACTCGCTTCGCTCGGGTTCGTCCCTACCTTGATTCCCCATACAAACTTTCATCCCCATTTTCACCCTCTTAAGGGCAGATTTCCGGGATAAAAAGTATTATATGTCCTTCCCAAGGTCTCAAACTATCTTCTAATCAAATTTCATCTAAATCGGTTCTGTAGATCCAGAGATTACCCCCTACAACATCACAAACTGACAATTTCACAAATTTTATCTCTTTATAATATTATAGTATAGATAATTTATTTTTTATTAGTACAATGTAAATTATATGTAAAATATTTTACCCATCACAGACCGCAGTTAGTTTTCATTTGCAACGATAAATTCTAATATTCATATCATATTGCGTTTGGAATCTTCTGCTGGAATGCGCAATAATATTTAAATAATATATTCCAATGTGATTTATGTGGATGTGACGGACACAGACAGATGTAAATCATTTTTAATTATTTTTATAGTTACCATGTGATCACTTCTGAAAGTATACCTAATTTTCCTAATTTTCGTTAAAGAGTAGAAATAAAGACAAAAAAAACGATGAAATGAAGCAAATTAATAATTACATTTCTTTTTACGAAATATATATATTCCAATATGAATAATTTAAAATACTTTAAATTATTTTATTCAGTAAACATGAAAATGCAATTTTCAGGTAAGTTCGTTTTCACGAAAAAATGCGAGCGAAAATCCGCTAAATTATGATACCAAGTAAAAGAGAGTTTCCAATTTATAGATTGTAGTTTGTTTACCATATTGTAATTAATAATTTTGTATCGAGTATCATATTAATTTATCAAGAAAATTACGTAAGAATATTTAGGCGTCCTTTGCTTTGCTGCAATTCAACAGATAATCTTATAAAAATAATATTTGCTTATTATTAAAAATCCCAAAACAATAGTTGTTGAAATTGTTATCTGTTTGTCAGTATATCTGAGAGAATTTCACGCAAAAAGTACTAAACGGATTTTAACTAAATTTTGTGTAGTAATAAATTATTACTTGAGTTAACATTTAGGATACCTTTAACTACAGGAATATATTTTATTCCCACGGAAAAACAAAATAACTGGTTCTGATGAGTCGTCCTTAGAAATTTACATTGCTAACGCTGGTTAAACCTTAAGAAATACAAGAAAACAATGTACTAGAAAATTATAAGTCTTAAAAAGGTCTACAGACAAGTGCGCAATGATATAAGTCTAATTTCTAAGGTACACTTGCTATACCTATCTATTTAAAACGTACGGTACGTAAGTCGCTAGTACAAAATATTACACGTCTAACATATATAAATAATGTCTTGATTGCAGTTTCTAAATAAAAAGGATCTTAATTTTCAAACCATTGAAAAGGAAATAAAATTCCATATATCAGATATTTGATTTATTTGAATATGGGTAGAAAATCGTGCTGGGAATGTAATGTACTGTCATCTGTGTTCCAGCCGCAGCACTTATACATAACCCTAATATGTAGGGGAGATCCGTTATGTAACGGGCGATTAACTTTGGAGTATTATTAAATTTTGTATTTAAAAACTTGTTAACTGTCCTTAAGAAATTTATAGGCAGAACCCGCGGCTTTGCTCGCGATAAAACTACAAAAAATATCTAAAAGGTAGTTTCATAAAAACTTTCATTCCCTATTATACCCCCTTATAGGATGAATTTCGAAAAATGCTAAGACACGTATTTATTTAATTTTATTGAAGAGCATTAATATCAAGTTTCAAGTAATTCTGATCATAAATATTTTTTGGATGGTATTATAACGTGTTATCCCGTGGGAATTACATAATCTCCCGCGGTAAATAGTAGCCTATGTCACTTTCCAGCTCTCCAACAATCTCCGCACAAAAAATCACGCCAATCCGTCACTCCGTTTCGACGTGAAAGAAGGACAAACAAATAAACTATCACACATGAAGTGCTATGTCTCTATCGACGGTAACCAGTCCAAGCTCTTCCCTGTTACCTGTGGAGTTAAGCAAGGCTGCGTTACAGCACTAACTCTATACTTCGCTGTTGTAGTTAGAGAAGTTTTGAAGAACATGACCGAGGGTATCCGTATTCGTATGAACGGTAGCATTTATAAATCTTGCGAGGTTTAAATCCTACACTAAAATTTCCTATGCTACAATAATTAAAATTATGTAGGCAACTGATAATCTATACTTTGTTGCCGACTCAGCAGACGAACTAAACACCCTAATTTTAAGTATTTATAATTACTACGATGCTTGCAATAGGTTTGGCCTTAAAATAAATGTCAAAAACCGAAATCATGAATAATATGGATGCCACTGACATCGCGACTCCCAGTGTAAGAATCGGCACAGAAACAGTAAAGTAGGTGAAGAAGTTTCCCCCCCAACGTGCGTTCACCTTGTCGTGGTGGGGGGGGGGGGGGCTCAGTAGTGCCCGGCAATCCAACCGGGCGCGAAGCTAAGAAACGCACAGGGAGGTTGCCCACTTCGGTGGGCGGTGGGAGGTGGCCCTCTTCGGGGGGCGGTGTACCAGGCGGGTTACTCCTGGTACTTCTCTGATAGCAGAGTGGACCTTGGAGCAACCCCATGGTTGTGGTGGTCTGCTTCGGCAGACCTGCCGTCGGGGCGTCGTAGTTGAATGCGTAAGCGATCCTGCGACGCCCCATTAAGACGGGGGAAGGTTTTGTTGGGTTTTAGTGGGTAGTACTGGCTGTATTACGCCGGTGAGTCCCACACGTCGTGCGTAAATGCATTTCCCAACGTTAAAAAAAAAGGGCGGCGAAGTTTAGGTATCTTGATAGCACAATAACTTCGAAATGTGACCTGGATTCTGAGATAAATAATAGAATAAGTGCTGCAGCTGCGGCTTATGGTAAATTACAAGCGAAAGTTCATTCACATGATCTCAGGTTCTCCACGAAAATTAACATTTATATGAGTATAGTGCTGCCAAACCTCCTTTACTTACCCTTACCTACCCCTTACCCCGACCTTATATCGCATGCGTTGTCAACAATGTCTCTGAGACATTTTGAACATTCGATGGTCAGACCAAGGCAGAAATACAAATGTTTTGAGACGAGCAAATGTTGGAGGTACTGAGATGTATCTGATGAGGCGGCAGCTTCGATGGTGTGGGCACGTGTCTCGCATATCGAACGACAGACTGGCGAAGCGCATCTTCTTTTCAGAACTCCAGCACGGTAAGCGTAAAAGCGGTGGCCAGTACCTAAGATATAAAGCTGTTCTGAAAAAACATATAAAACAATGCAAAATACAGCCCTCTCAATGGGAGGTAAAGGCGGCAAAGGAGCTCGATTGTAAGACAATGCTGTTAGTATAGGTACGAAAAGTCTATGAATATGAGTGTAGGCTTGGTTTTATTTAAGTCACGTCACAACGGCCTGTAATAAAGGCTGTAGACCGCGTCCAGAAGCTCCATGTGCCCGAATAATA